CGTCCATTCATTGAGCCATCCCATCCCTCCTGCCAGGCCCGGAGTATGCGTCGTCCGATTTCGTCATCGTTTGGGTGCTCCCATGCTTCTCTGTTGGGGACATCCCGGGGTTCTTCGTTTGTCCTCCCTTCGTACAACAGCGTCCGTTCCGTTGCCAGGAGGCTCCAGGGCGTCATTCAGGACAAGGACCGCGTCCGTTGATATCGTCTTATAGGCTCTCGTGGTTCGAATGGCCATGATTCTCTGGGTCTTCTCCATCAGGTTTTTGTACTTCTGGAATTTCATGGCTGTAGGGGCCCTGATTGGGGCTCCGTACATCACAATCGACTCGGCTACCGTAGCCATCATCCTCCTCTGAATTTCGCCCGCACCGTACGTTCTCGGCAGGATCTTGGCCATGCTCGTTGCGACTTGCGCTGCTTTAGTGAGTGTGATCTCGAGGTGCATTTTCCACGTGAGATTTCGCTCTAAGATGAGTCCCAGGTATTTTGTGTGAGCTTTGATCTCGATCTTCTCGCCCATCAATCGGATGTCTGGGCCTTCGTCGTTCCGCCGCCTGACGAGCATGACAGCCTCGCTCTTCCGAGGGGGCCAGTTCGAGATGGTTGTCATGCATCCATTTCGCTATTCGATCCAGCGCTTCTTGTGTTATTTCTTCAAGCTCTGTCATGTTATTTGCTGTAACTAGGAGCGCCAGGTCGTCGGCGTAGGCGACGCTCTGGGCTCCTTCCGGCAATGGTATCCGGAGGACATCGTCATATGCTACGTTCCAGAGGGTAGCCCGAGGACCGAGCCCTGAGGTACTCCAGCTGTCATGTCGTGTGTCCGTCCGACCTCGTCAGTTATGCGCCTGTCCTTGAGGTATGAGGGCAGTATTCTCTGTAGGTACGCCGAAACACCCTTCCTCAGGAGGCTGTCCGCGATTATCTTCCATTCTACGGAGTTGAAGGCGTTTGTCACATCAAGAAGAACTATCAGTGCTCTGGATCTCCGATGCCATGGCTTCTGTACCTCCGTGTCGGCGATTCTGTATACGCTCCCGAGCGCCGTCAGCGTGGATCTTCGTGATCGAAATCCGTGTTGGTTCTCGGAAATGCATCCTCCGTCCTCTAGCTCTTCTTGTAGCCTTTGATTCAGAATTTTTTCAACGGCTTTCGCTACGGTGTCTAGTAAGCATATCGGTCGGTAGGCATCTGTCCTCCCCGGTTTTGGAATGAGAATCAATTTGGCCGTCTTCCATCTCTCGGGGAAGATTCCTTCCTTCAAGATATGATCTACCATTTTCGCGAAGATTTTGGGCCACCTTTTCATCAGCATTCTGACCGCTTCAGGTGGGACTCCATCAGTCCCCGCTGCTTTTCCCGCCGCGAGTTTGCCAGCTGCGGCAATCACTTCGTCGACTCTTATCTTCGGGATTTCCTCCGGATCTATGTGATGTTCGATCCTTTCGAATGGCATCCCTCTGGGGAAGAGCTCCTCGATGGCCTTATCCACTTTTTCCGTCGGGATCCTAAGACGTCGCTTCCCCGATTTGTCTCGAATGGTTTTGTATGGCATTCCCCATACATCGTCCTTGACCATGTTGCATAATTCTCTCCATTTCTGCCGTTTGCTTATGAGGATTTCATTCTGATATCTATCTCGGGCTTCTCTATAAGATTTTCTCAGGTTCTCGACTCTGTTAGGGTTCTGCCGTATCTGCTTCCTCGAACGAACGAATAGTCTCCTTGCTCGGTTGCATTGCTTCCTGGCAGCTTCTATGTCTTCATTCCACCACGGCACTGGTCGTTTCCTCTTCAGGGTGCTGAGTGGACGCGGGGCCGACGCGTTGCACGCTTCAGCGAGAAGTGTCGTTATGAAGTTTTCGTCTACGATCCTCTTGCTGTGCTCTGCTTCTAGGCATTCGGTATCTATTTTCGAGAGGAATTCCGATCGATTGATATCCTTCCCTCGCCACCCCTTGTGTATCTTTGCTGTTCCACTCTTGCGTTTCTTCCAGTGCGAAAATGAATTTCTAGACACCAAAAGGCTAGCTCACTAGAACGCTGGCGACTCGAATAACCGATTCAACAAACTAAAACAAGAGACATTGAATTAAACCTCAATAAACCATTCTTTGTTCGCGCAGACATCTATGTCTGCGAAATATAACAAAATCTGTCCGAGCGCCTTTGGGGGCGCCCGGACAGCTCGAACATGGGGCCCGAAGGCCCCCTT